CTCATCGTGAACAGCCTCATCGTGAACAGCCTAATCGTGAACAGCCTGTGGGACCGTAGGTTCTGAACAAAAATAAAACGAGATAATGAGAAATGTCAACATTTTGTGTTTATATCTATTAATCGATTACACTCTGAATGATCATTTAGATTTTGCCAAACTGAACTGTAGCCCAATAATTATTCTCAACAAAAACCTACACATGAAAACCTCATTAGTGACTGTCCTAATCTACATTAATGTTAGTCTGTTGACATTCATTAATGCTCAGAAACACAGACTTAGGTAAAGTCGTGAGCTGAGAGGATGGTGATCGCTGTTTCTTTCTGCGACCGATGTGCGCATACCAGAAGTGACCCAGAAGTGACGCTGACCGATAAGCCTTCTATAGACTGCACATACATTTCTATAAAAGCATCTTCACAGGATGAATATGTTTATGTTAACAAGAAGCTTTTTCATTCAGTTAATGTACAAATTATATGTGATGTTAAAAAGCAACTAACCACCGTTGTGGAGAGGTGGCGTGTTTCAACGCACGGCTCATTCACTCTGATGAACAGTGGACAGACTTCAAGCTGGCACGGTGAGGAATGGGTGGCTTCTTGGTGACTGTTCATTTCATCGTCCTAATATGTTCAACCATTCCTTCTTAATTTCTACAGGTGTGTGTTACTCTGACCTGATCCTGCATGTGCAGCTGGATGAGGCCGAGGTCATCAGGGCCTGCCTCTGCGAGCTGATAAGATATATAAAAACTATTCTCGCACACTGCCCAGTGCAAATTCTTGTAACTGGGCTCCATGATGTAGAACTTTTATGCATCTGTGTAAACCTGTAACTGAAACTTACAAGTAAAACCACTTCAAATATCTTCTCGTGTCCTTGAGTGTGGCTTCTCGCAGTGAAGTAAGATGAATAAGGATATTTTCATCCAACATGAGGCCCCAGGTCCTGTGTAGACCGTCCATATTGTAGTTCGTAGTACATTTTTACCTTTAAATCATCTAAGAACGTAGCTGACACGTCTCCTGCACTTTCTTTTTCTGGTGGGGGGTGCACCACCAGCCTGAGCTGAACAGTCCCCAGAATCAGTCAGACTGACTGCCTTTTACAAGATTTGTGTAGAATAAACAAGCTATCATGGTTTTTATGCACATCATATTCTAATTGTGTTCAGTATTTAATTAATGTAGTCATGCACTGAATCCGACAGTCTCATCTACATTATAGAATTTTTGGCATTGATCATTATTCAGAGGGCAAAGTTCATACAAATAGGACAAATATTGTGCGTCTGGCAACGTTGCTGTTCAAAATGTACTCCCTCCCCTTTGTAAGTGGTAGAGATTAGCTCCGCCCCCTAACTCCAAACTGCATCCCACGAGTGCCAAAATAATGTGTGTTTGTTTGTGTTTGTGCAGGCATCACTTGGTGAGCTTCAGCCTTGGTCGCCGTCTCCCTACAGACAACGTGAGCGGTCAGCTTCATTTCAGAGTATACATCACCTCCACGGGACATGAAGGTTGGTCCGAACTCACCATCGGTTGATGCAGTTTTATTAAGAACACAGTTCAATTAATTAATCTATGCATTCATTATGTTGTTCCAAAGTCGGGTTAGTCCAATGTCAATATTTATTCGTAATATAACATAGATGACAGATCAAAAGTTTAATCTGAGTAAATGTAACATTTTAAAGTAAAATATGTTGATTCAAAATTTCACAGTGTCAACAAATCCCAAAAAAGTTGGGACAAGTAGCAATAAGTGGCTGGAAAAAGGAAATTGAGCATATAACAAACAGCTGGAAGACCAATTAACACTAATTAGGTCAATTGACAACATGATGGGTATAAAAAGAGCTTCTCAGAGTGTCAGTGTCTCTCAGAAGCCAAGATGGTAAGAGGATCACCAATTCCACCATTGTTGCGCAGAAAGATAGTGCAGCAATACCAGAATGGTGTTACCCAGCGTAAAATAGCAAAGACTTTTAAGTTATCATCATCAACCGTGCATAACATCATCAAAAGATTCAGAGAATCTGGAACAATCGCTGTGCGTAAGGGTCAAGGCCGTAAAACTCTACTGGATGCTCGTGATCTTCGGGCCCTTAAACGTCACTGCACCTCAAACAGGAATGCCACTGTCAAGGAAATAACAGAATGGGCTCAGGAATACTTCCAGAAAGCATTGTCAGTGAACACAATCCACCGTGCCATCCGCCGTTGCCAGCTGAAACTCTACAGTGCAAAGAGGAAGCCATTTCTAAGCAAGCTCCACAAGCTCAGACGTTTGCACTGGGCCAGGGGTCATTTAAAATGGAGTGTGGCAAAATGGAAGACTGTTCTGTGGTCAGACGAGTCACGATTTGAAGTTCTTTATGGAACACTGGGACGCCATGTCATCCGGACCAGAGAGGACAAGGATAGCCCAAGTTGTTATCAACGCTCCGTTCAGAAGCCTGCATCACTGATGGTATGGGGTTGCATGAGCGCTTGTGGCATGGGCAGCTTGCATGTCTGGAAAGGCACCATTAATGCAGAGAACTATGTTCAGGTTCTAGAACAACATATGCTCCCATCTAGACGTCATCTCTTTCAGGGAAGACCCTGCATTTTTCAACACGATAATGCCAGACCACATTCTGCAGCAATCACAACATCATGGCTACGTAGGAGAAGGATCCGGGTACTGAAATGGCCAGCCTGCAGTCCAGATCTTTCACCTATAGAGAACATTTGGCACATCATAAAGAGGAAGGTGCGACAAAGAAGGCCCAAGACGATTGAACAGTTAGAGGCCTGTATTAGACATGAATGGGAGAGCATTCCTATTTCTAAACTGGAGAAACTGGTCTCCTCTGTCCCCAGACGTCTGTTGAGTGTTGGAAGAAGAAGGGGGATGCCACACAGTGGGAAAAATGGACTTGTCCCAACTTTTTGGGATTTGTTGACGCCATGAAATTTCGAAACAACAGACGTTTCCCTTCAAATGATCCATTCTCTCAGTTTAAACTTTTGATCTGTGATTTGTGTTCTATTCTGAATAAAATATTAGATGTTGGCACCTCCACATCATTGCATTCAGTTTTTATTCACTATTTGTTTAGTGCCCCAACTTTTTTGGAATCCGGTTTGTAAAAAAACACCTCGCACAAACAAGCACATAGTGACACAGACATTCTGCAGAGGAGGTGGGAGCCGAGAGCAGTGAGCTTGTTCATAGATGCTCTCGAGGGCACTGTAAGAGTTCTGATACGGATGTAATAATCAGCCAATGTCCTCTGGTGAGATCCATAAACATTCTCAAGGTATCTAAAGAAGTTCAATCTGGTCCTCTGGACATTCAAAAATAACAAAAAACAGAACAAAGCAAAAAAATGTAGAAACGTTTCGTCTCTCATCCTGAGGACTTCCTCAGTCTGAGGTGCTGTATTCAGCTCAGTCTCTTAAATAGCACCGTCTCAGAGTGGATCAACCAGTTTCCTGCTGACAACCAGAACCAGCATATTTTTTAAGCTGGAAACTAAATTCCTTCTTGTAACGCTCAGATTCTTGATTCCTAAAATGATGAATTAAATAATTTCTTAAACTTTAATATATGTCAGTTGTTATAAATCTGGAGTTTCTTCTGGAATGCTGAATCTAACCTTTCTGCGCCTCTCAGAGGCATCTCCAGATGCTGTGGGAACCATCCTGGGCAGTGGTGACCCCGGCAGTCCCTCTGATGATGAAGAGCTCCCTCATCCCTCCTCATCATCACATGTCACGTGTGGCCCCTCCCCCACAGGCTCTGAGGAAGGACCCTTTGTTATGAATGGCCTCTGTTGCTATGGAGACGACAGCATGTGGCGTGATCCTGGACAGCTGGGAGTGGAGGACCTGCGTCCCGTGGCTCCGAGGGGCCACACCAATCGTCAGGTGTCCCTCAACGACTACCTGGACGCCCTTGAAGCCCCTGCGTGTCCTGGGGACCGACTTCCGGTGGGGCCTCTGCCCAAACTGCGCTCCAGTTTTCCTACTGACACGCGGCTCAATGCCATGCTGCACATCGACTCGGATGAGGAGGAGGACCCAGTTGGCCAAGATCGGGACCAGTCACAGCAGAGCACTGACTCACTGATCACATCAGCCGTGCTCGGCGCCGGACAACGTAACCATGGGGGGCATAAGGTCCAGGCAGGGTCTGGAGCAGAGGCAGCTTCTTCTACTGGTTCTCAGCCTCGGACTGAGCAGGAACAGGTTGAAATCGGAGGAGGAACCCATGATGGAGCGTCAGTCCAAACGGAAACATCGGACCAGGCAGCTGGAGTGCCAGCTGAAGAGGCTCTGGTCTCTGAAGGAACCTCCACAGCGTCAGGTTGGTCTCAGGCAGCTGCAGCAGCCTCAACAGAGGAGTCTGGTCTAGAGGGTTCATGTCAGGAGCAGAGCAGCAGGACCAGGACCTGTAACCCCCCAGGCGGTCCACTTTCACCCATCCAGGTAAGCAGGAGTTTTTCAGAGCCAGGTCACAGTTAAAGGGTATTTGAATACAATCGGCTGCCATATTGTTTCTTTCCTCACTCTTCATTTCGCTTCTCAGGAGATTGAAGCAAGAAAAGAGCTGGCTCCCAAGGCGGAGGAGGAGGGGGTGGAAACCTCGAGCAGCGAGGCGAACGGGCCAGTCGGAGCATCCGCTCAGATCAGCAGCAGCACCACTGACGGAGAAGGAAGCCCAAAGTCCGGTAGGTGATGTAAGAAGTTGTTTTAACATACGCAAGATGAGATAAGATGGTTTGTTGAGATCCTAATTAATTCAGGTGTGTGCTAACGCAATGCCAAGGTGGAAAGACATCAGCAAAGATGTAAGAGAAGCAATTACTGTTGGAAAAAAAATGTTCTCGCTGTATCTCACTTACTCAGAAGGAGCCACACTTGACAGCAGGAGAAGATTTTTAACTGGTATTTACTTGCAAAGTTGATTTTCAGGACTGGTTACACATATGTACAGGAACCAACAAAGTCCATGCTCAATAATCCAGGTATACAATCCAACAATTTTCAGTCAGGTCATCCGGACAGTTTCTTTTTTTTTTTTCTGAAACATTTCACCATCCAGAAGGCTTCGTCAGTCAAGGAAACACAACACAAAAGTGATTCTTCCCCCAACAGCTTACTCCAAAGTGGAACAAACCAGTTATGCTGGTGCTAGGATGGTGCTACAGGTCCGAACCCAGTCAACGTAACCATAGCACTCCAACTTCATCTTCACTGATGAAGCCTTCTGGATGGAAGGTGAAACGTTTCAGCAAAAATGAAACTGTCCAGATGACCTGACTGAAAATTGTTGGATTGTTCACCTGGATTATTGACCACAGACTTTTTTTAGTTTTGAACCAGTTTGACGTGACCGTCGACGAGGAAGAGGGCCGGCATTGGAGGAGGGGGAGTGCCAAAGACACCATCTTAGCACCAATATAACTGGTTTGTTCCACTTTTGGAGTAAGCTGTTGGGGGAAGAATCAGTTTTGTGTTGTGTGTTTCCTTGACTGATGAAGCCTTCTGGATGGAAGGTGAAACGTTTCGGCAAAAAAAGAGACTGTCCAGATGACCTGACTGAAAATTGTTGGATTTGTTCTGTATATGTGGATTATTGAGCACGGACTTTCTTCTTTTTGATCATGCGGTTTGTTTTTTCCAAATTTAATGATAACTTATTAAGTTGGAACCAATTTTGTATTTTTATGAATTCTGCCTGTATCATCTCTAACATCCGTTCAATATCTTCACCCGAACAACAAAAAGTGGTATCATCTGCAAATAAAACACTTCAAAAGCCCTGACACATCAACCAGATCATTCACATACAAAATGAACAACTTTGGTCCCAACTCAGAGCCTTGAGGGACTCCACATCCATTAACACAAAATTCTGATCTTACGTTGTTTACCTGTACAAAGTGTCTCCTATTATTCAAATAACTGGATAGTGCTAATCCTCTAATGCATATTTATTCAGTTCTTCAAGGAGAATGGTGTGGTCAATAGTGTCGATCAACAAAAACACAATATTGTTTTTGATCAACAGCAGTTGTTAACTTTTCTATTAGTTCCATGAGAGCTATTGATGTTGAATTATTTGCTCTAAACCCATATTGACTATTACTTAAAATATTCTGTTTATCTATAAATTGATCTAATCTGGTTACTGATGATTTCTCTAATGTTTTTGAAAATTGTGTCAACAAAGATACTGGTCTGTGATTAGTGAACACACATTTCTCACCATTCTTATAAACAGGAACTGTCTTTGCTATTTTCATATTTTCTGGAAGTGTTCCTGTTGGAAATGATAAATTACATTTATATGTAAATGGTTCAATAACTCTTTATATCCTTTACAAACATCATGTCCATCCAGTCTTTTGATCTTTTATCTGTAAGATTTTTCACAATACTCAGTATTTCTTCTTTATCAGTGTAAAGAGCATGCCTCAGAATATATGGAAATATGACCAAACCATGTTGGTTAAAGTCAACTCAGTAAAGACTGGGCACCCTCTGCTGGACACTCCAGGTATTACAACCTAAATTACAGATATGGGTTCAGTAGCCCAATGTCTCATGTGGGTTACATTTTCATAGAGTTCCCAAGATATTCATAAACACATCACAGGCTCTGTGTACATCATCAACATGCACATCCTTCCAATGTTGTTTTTTTCAAACCATCTTTCAATTTATCCAAAGCTTTTTTTGATGTATTTATCATTTTCCTCTTCACTCTAGCTACTTTTTTACTGCATTGGAAATTTTTACAAATGGCAAAATCTGGCAAATGATCACTTGTATCAGTCATCAAAATCCCACTCATCACCTCAGCATCTCTTACGTTAGTAAAAATATTATCAGTCACTGTGTAATTCTTGTTGGTGTAAATCAGCTGATTTACGAGCTAAACCGTAAGATGGAAGCGATTTGTCAGAATTGCAGTCCACCTGCGGCTTCTGGGACTCGCCATCATGTTGGAGACGACCTTGGAGGAGACGCATAAGCATGGACCAGTGGAATGCCCACTAATCTGGCCATTTTGGATTTTTAAAGTACCAGCAGGACTCAAGGCTGACAAGAAAAAAGTAACAATTGTGGCTTATCTTAATCTGACTCCCCCGGTTGGCCTCGAACTTACCGACTTATCAATTTCTCCTGGGATATGTGTAAACTAAGGAAAAGCTTTGTTTATCGCAACACCCCCCCCCCCCCCCCTCCCGAGAACTTCTGTGAAGGCTTATCAGAACTGTGCTGGCTGACCTACATCTTATCAGGACTATGGCCTATCTGGAAGTGCTTCGTGGACAAATCTCACCGTCTTGCCATCAGTTACATGTAATGTGTCTATAATATATGTCTTTATCGACCATGAGATCCTCATTGCTAGGTTGGAGCAGTGGGTGGGCGTCACAGGATCAGCCCTCAATTGGTTCAGATCTTACCTCGCTGACAGATCCTTTTGTGTCTCCATCAAGGATTTTAGTTCTGCAGTGACAGAGCTTAAATGGGGGGTTCCGCAGGGGTCCATCCTGGGTCCCCTCCTATTCTCTTTATACCTGCTGCCGCTTGGTGCTATTTTCCGGAAACACAACATGCCCTTCCACTTCTATGCCGATGACTGTCAAATTTACTTCCCCCTAAGACACAATGGTACATGCTCTATTCAACCTCTGCTCGACTGCCTGGCTGACATCAGGGACTGGATGGCTTTAAATTTCTTAAGTTTCAATGAAAAGAAGTCTGAAGTCATGTTGTTCCCTCCCAACGACACGATCACAAACCACTGCATCGACCTCTCCGCTCTAACCCTGTCAGAAAAACAAAGAGTCACTAATCTGGGCGTGATAATGGACCCTTCCCTGAAACTTAACAATCATGTAAACATGATTGTTACATCATGTTTCTTCCAGCTGAGGCGGCTGTCTAAACTGAAGCCCATATTGTCCAAAAATAACCTGGAGACAGTAATACATGCATTCATTACATCTAGGCTTGATTACTGCAATTCATCCTGTTTGGTATCAGTCAGACCTCCATTGCACGACTGCAACTGGTCCAGAATGCAGCAGCCCCATTTTTAACCAGTACAGGCAAAAGAGAGCACATTACACCAGTTTTGGCCTCACTGCACTGGTTACCAGTTCACCTTCGGATCCAGTTCAAAATACTCATGTATGTCTACAAATCACTGAACAGTGTCTTCCCCCCCCCACCCCCCATCTCTCTGATCTGATACAACCGTATGTCCCACCACGCTCCCTGAGGTCAGCGGACCAGTTGCTCCTCACAGTTCCAGGAACTCGTCTTAAGCGCAGAGGGGACAGGACCTTCTCTGTAGCAGGACCAAGACTTTGGAACGAGTTACCTCTGCTTGTCAGACAGGCCCCCTCCCTCTCGGTTTTCAAGTCCCGTTTAAAAACTCTCTACTATTCAGCAGCTTTCAACACCAGATGATCTGTGTTTGATCCTGTATGCTCCACACTGGTTAGTCGTCATTATCTGCATCGTTTTTATGTCTATATTCTGATTGACCTCATTTTGTATTTTGCTTTGTGTGTTACCTGTTGTTCTGTCTGTACAGCACTTTGGTTGGCCTTGTAGCTGTTTTAAGTGCTTTATAAATAAAGTGGTATGGTATAAATGTGGTGCTGGCAGAGTGTTTCATGTCTTGAATCGTGTCCTGATAAGGACAAGATGTGACGAGATCTTTTTTGTCATACCACTATCCATCCTCATGACCTTTTCCCCTTTTCTATCTTGAAAGAAAAGTATTGTGAAAAAGGACAAGGGGCCGCGCTCTCAGGAGCAGCAGCACCGAGGACGCCGCCCATCTTTCACCAATATAATCTCACTGTGATAATAAAGATTATTCTGATTCTGGTTTATTTGTTTTAGACGTTTGTTTGTTTTTAAAATCACTGTGATAAATTAGTTTTATTTTGCCGCCTCTGCCGTAAAGTTTGCACATAAATAACTTTATCGTGAGTCTGTTCGTCTGCTCCGTTGAGTAGACCCAGAGATCGTAGAGTGTTATTTGAAGACTCAGGCATTGTTCAGAGTGAAAAGTTACACTGAGCTGCAGTAAATACAGACAGGCTGAATGTAAAGTCAGCCTGAATTCAGCAAAACATGCCAACTGAATTATTTATTAATTTGTGTGTTGTGTTTTCTGTAGGTGCCACAGCTCAGGTCAATGGTCATCAGTCAGTTCGGTCCCTTCCAACCCTCCGTCATGACATTAGTCGATATCAGAGAGTCGATGAGCCCCTGCCGCCCAGTAAGTACGAGCGTTCCTCAAAACAAGAAAATATTAAAATGAAAGAACAAGAGGAGACTCAGCCAGCGCTGTGCTGTCACTTACCATGACTTGTAGGGTTCTTTGTCTTAAAGGAAGCGCGTAGACTCCAGTGTTTAACTTTGCTGTGTTCTCCTGTCAGCTTCTTTAACTCTGGGACATTCTTTTGGTCTCCGTATTACTATTACTAATACCTGTCTGCTCCCATAGCACTGGGTAACCGTACCACTGACAGTCTGTCTGCGGTCTTTCATACACCAGGTTAGATATGGTGCTGCAACTGGTGCTTTGTAATGTCAGATCAGATAACGTTGTAAAGTCCTCCCATCCATGAACGAAGGGAACGGCAATGAGGACAACCAGCACTGACCGTGTGTGTCTGATCCAGACTGGGAGGCTCGCATCGACAGCCACGGTCGCATCTTTTATGTGGATCACGTGAACAGGACCACCACGTGGCAGAGACCCACCGCTCCCCCAGCCCCACAGACTCTGCAGAGGTCCAGCTCCATCCAGCAGATGGAGCAGCTGAACCGCAGGTCAGGACACACACACAGCCATTACAAAGGTATTATGAACAGGTTCCAGTGTTCCAGGTTCCAGTGCTGCCTCCTCTCCTGACTCTGAGGAGCTCTGATGCACCTCTGTGCTGCAGCTTCACTCATAATAAATCTTATGTTCCTCTGTCAATGTCTTCCTGTTTTTCATCAGTCACTGTCCAGACCTGCCGACTCATACACGCTTGGTTATTACATACTTTCCTTACCTTTACAGAACGCTCATACAGTTTGTTCCACTGAAGAAAGTCCCTCACACCTTCTGCTGTAACAAACACAGAGAGAAGTAGAACCTGACCAAACTGGTCAAGACTTTTACAACTTCTTTGGTTTAAAAACTGCACGTCACTGTATGCTGATGCATGCTCAACAGTCCCGGTAGAAAAATGATCCTCTGGACGAATTAAATTGTGTAACCGAAGTAAACACAAACTAACATTATTCAGAACGTTGATTTACCAGCTGTAAATCAGATACTGATGATCACGGAGTAAAGTCCGACATCGTCGACTCGGTTCTGGTCCACTCAGCGACCGGTGTGGAGCTGTTAGACGAAGCGGGCCCGCTTGGCGTCAGATCTGTCGACTCATATCCACAATCCAGCTTTAACTTGTCGTTACGTTGTTGTTGTTAGCTGGTTAGCCCAGAGGAAAGGAGCGTGCTGCATGCACATTAGGTGAAGGTACAAAATTCACAGCTCCATCTAAGGACCTGGCATGGTAACTACAGCGGATTCAGGAGGGCAAGGGGGGGGGGGATTCCTTTGGATGCATCTAAACACAAAATCCATCTGTGTCAACGCAAATCTTTCCCTCTAATTAACATACGAAAAAACCTACGTTTCCCCCCATCATGTCCGTGTAAATAGGTCCTTAGTCTTATAAATAGCATCTTCTCATAGTGGATCAATTGCTTTGTTGTTGACATCCAGAACAAGCTGTTCAGGACCATCAGCCTAACAATGGATCATTAGCACCTGATGGCTGTTTACTGTTCACAGAGGGCTGAGTGATACTAGCAATCACAGCATTGTAAGAGGGGGACAGTTGAACCTGGAGGCTCCACCCCTGTTTAATGATGGACGGTTTCTTTTCACAAAGATGGCCTCCTTTACTCCTCTCTCAAACCATCGTTCTTCCTTATCCAGGATGTTAACATGAAAGGGTGACCTCTGACCTGGAGATGAGTGTAGACCGCAGAGTCCTGGCCTGATGATGTTGATCTTCTGTGCTGGTCCATCCTTTTGGCCAGTGGCTGTTTAGTTTCCCCGATGTAAGACTGATCACCCTCCTGACACTGAACAACATACACAACATTACTCTGTTTGTGCCGGGGGACTGGATCTTTGGGATGAACCAGTCTTTAATGTATTTTGGGGTTTAAAAGCCACTGGGACGTTATGTTTAGAAAATAAACGTCTCAGTTTCTCTGATACTCCCTCAACGTATGGAATGACCACTGGTCTGGGTTCCTCCTTTTCACCTGATGCTGACTGGAGTCCTGTTTGGGTTTCTTTTGAATTTAATTTTATACAGTTTTTTTGTTTTTTATGAATTTCTTAAACCACACTGACACACCTCTGCAGGTATCAGAGTATACGAAGGACGATGACCAACGACCACAGACCAGAGGAGCAGCCAGCCAATGAGCTGCTGGGAGATGAGACCGACACGAACCCCACCAGCCCAGGTAACCCCTCCCTCTAACTCAGGTAACCCCTTCCTCTTACCCAGGTAACACCTCCCCCCAACCCAGATAACCCCTCCCTCTATTTCAGCTAGCCCCATTCCTGAGAAGGGGTTCTCTGCAGACCAAAAGTGGGCGTTTCTGGAGAACAGGTGTTTGTAGAGGACAAACACTGATTGAACTGTATCTGCTGCTCTTTAGTTAAGTTACGTCAGGTCTTTTTAAAACTGAAGGTTTCTAAGAACCAGCGTTAAATCTGCTGTCAAACACAAGAAGATTCTCTTTAGTCCTTGGTTGTAGCTGCACCTGACACAGGTGAGTCTGGTCTGGGTACAATGAAGCATCTGAAGAGAAACCTGCTCCATTTGTCTAAAAAGTCTCAATTAAAGATCATGAGTCCTGTGACGAGATAACGGCCCAAAACAAAATGTTCTTTAGAAGTTCTTCTATGAGATGTGATCCATGAAAGGAGCTGAAACATGAAGGACTGACCCTTAAAATGTGAGACAGCTGAGGAAGTGAACCAGTAAACAGAATACCTGCTCCAGGTGCAGAAATCTGACAGAAACTGACCATCACTCATCTGCAGGGACTGATTTAAAAGATGAACAAGAAAATGTGAAAAGGAAACATCCTTTGTCCCAAAGACAGTTGAAGTATCATTATTATTTTGGTTACTTTATTTTACTTTCTTTATGAATTTATTGTAACTATTTTCACATTATTCAACAACCAACACAGATTTAGTTTTTTAATGTAATGGCTAGGTATTAAAAAATAAACATTTAGTCCTCCCCACTACCCAGTTATGTTGCTCTTATTTTGAAATGTCACCGGAAGTTCTGTTAAGAGAGGCGGAAAGAGAAGGTATGCTAATGTTGAACCGGTTAACACCATAGACGTAATATGTCTGTGGTTTACACAAACGGCTTGTTTTTTTCATTCAGCCTTTTTTTTTCATCCAATCAGATGTGGCCCTCCCCAGATATGCCCATTTTACTATCGTCCAATCATATGTGACCCGCCAGATACGCCTATTGCTTTATCATCTAATCAGATGTGGTCCTCCAGATACGCCTCCGAATTTGTCTGCAGAGATACCTACTTGCCATTCCTCTAACCCAGGTAACCCCTCCATCTAACTCAGGTAACTCCTCCCTCAGACCCAGGTAACCCCTCCTTCTGACCCAGGCAACCCCTCCCTCCACCCTAGGCAACCCCTCCCTCTAACCCAGTTAACCCGTCCCTCCACCCCAGGTAACCCCTCCCTCTAATGTGTTCGATATAGTGGTAATTCATCTAGCTACCTAACGGTCACTAATGTGCCACAAGGCTCAGTTTTTGGTCCCACTCTTTTTTTACAATTCATATAAATAATGTAGGTCAAAACATTCCTGACGCATCCTTGCATCTCTATGTCGACGATACAATTGTTTATTGCCAAGCTCACATAGTTGCCAAGATTTTCCAGCTTCTGCAGTCTTCATTCAGCATCATTCACTCAGACAGATTCCATCTCAAACTGGTGCTAAATTCCGATAAAACCAAAGGGATGTTGTTTTTGAACGGAAAGTTGGTGCTAGCAGTTCTTCCTTCAACTCAGATAACCCCTCCCTCTGATCCAGAGATGGTGGGTGGGGCTTGGCAAAAGCGTTTTCCCACGCAGTAGACAGTCTTTAACAGAGCTTCGGCCCTCCGGGAATTCACATCCAGCAGTAATCTGCAAACGCTGCATCTCCTCAGTGATCAGGTATTGCAGTGTTTCTATATACTTCTCCATTTTCTCTATAGGATTCATCCCACTTCTGACACCAATGTAGCATATCAGCACTCAGCTACTAAAGGAGATGTGTGGCTCTTGTTGTAGATCAGGAATCATCCACCAGATGGTGTTTTATAAGCTTTATTTTCAACACACACAGACAAAGTGAACCCCACAGGTCTTTGAGAGAGCTACCTCCCTCACTCATGGTTACGTTACCACTAAAAATCCTAACACTTAATGAACACATAAACTAAGCCAACAAGAGAAGACTAATCACTAAAAGAACATGCTAAACAGCTAACCAAAATGAAGAACAGTTGACATAAATTCTACCCATAATCCCTCACTAATGTCATGTGACCAACAGTCAACCACAGCAGAATGCTACTACACACACACACACACACACACACACACACACATATATATATATATATCCTGCTGAAGGAGGGAGAATCTCCCTGCACCTGTGCACTGCACTTTTTTTGTGTGCGCTGCGCTTCTTAAGCGCTCCCCAGTCTCTGCCACATTGTTTGATTGCCTCATGCTTGAAGTAATCCAGCGTTCTTGTTCCTGGTCTGTTCCTGACCCATTTCATGACACGGACTCCTCCCCTTTACCTCCAAGACAGATACTTTTACCCATCGGATATCTGGACCTCCACGTCTGCTCTGCCTTCAGACCAATGATTCCAGCTAAACTCCTTGGATAAGTTTAGCTTTTCTTGCCTCTATGTGAATGACCCACGCCTGTATTTTTTGACCACAAACTCAGACCCCAGCCTCTAGGAGTTGAGCTCTCAGAACCAAGAACAACCAAGAACTCCTGTTTCAATTTCCAGGTCTCTCTTATAATTCATTACACAGCAAAAGAAAGAAGCTCTTTTGCTGTGTAATGAATTAGAGGGGGACTCAATGAATAAAAATATTTAAAGTTTTACAATGAAGAGAACTTGGAGAGTTCTTGGAGAGGCAGGAATCCCCATGGACTATGATGTTTGCAGATGACATTGTTATCTGTGGTGAGAACAGGGAACAAGTGGAAGAGAACTTAGAGAGGTGGAGCTATGCACTTGAAAGAAGAGGAATGAAAGTCAGCCGTAGTAAGAGAGAGTCCATGTGTGTGAATGAGAGGGAGGAGCTGGAACAGTGAGGCTACAAGGAGCAGAGGTCACAAAGGTGCAGGACTTCAAGGACTTGGGGTCCACTGTCCAGGAACATGGGGAGTGTGGTGAAGAGGTGAAGAAGAGAGTCCAGGCAGGATGGAGTGATGGAGAAAAGTTTCAGGAGTGATTTGTGACAAAAGGATGGCAGCAAAGGAAAAGTTTACAAGACAGTGGTGAGACCATCTATGTTGAATGGTCTGGAGACAGAGACATGGACAAAAAGACAGGAGACAGGACTGGAAGTGGCAGAAATGAAGGTCATGATGTTCTCCTTAGGAGTGACAAGGATGGATAAGATCAGGAATGAGATCATGAGTGCAGCTGTGGCTGAGTGGTTCGAGCAGTCGTCCCCCAATGCAAGAGTTGGGTGTTCGAGTCCACAAGCACTCACATGCCGAAGTGTCCCTGGGCAAGAGACTGAACCCCTCATTGCCTCTGGTGTGTGTCCCATCAGTGTATGAATGTGACGGATTAGCCTCATTAGAATGATTTGTTCAATTAGCTTTGTAGAGATCTAGTAGAGTATGAATGGGTGAATGAGGCACAGATTGTAAAGAGCTTTGTGTCTTGATAAGATAGAAAGGAGCTGTATAAGTACAGTCCATATCATCAGAGGTACAGCACAGGGTGAACAAATGGGAGATAATGTTAGAGAGGCCAGACTGAGATGGTTTGGACATGTCCAGAGGAGGGACAGTGGTTTGGACATGTTCAGAGGAGGGACAGTGGTTTGGACATGTCCAGAGGAGGGACAGTGGGTATATTGGTAGAAGGATCTTAGAAATGCAGCCGCAGGAAAAAGACTAAAAGAGGACAGCTAAAGAGGAGACATATGGAGTGAGGACAGAGGATGCAGGGGACAGAGTTAGGATGGTGGAGGATGACTCGCTGTGGTGACCCCTGAAGAGGAAAAAGACTAAAAGAGGACAGCTAAAGAGGAGACATATGGAGTGAGGACAGAGGATGCAGGGGACAGAGTTAGGATGGAGGAGTATGACTCGCTGTGGTGACCCCTGAAGAGGAAAAAGCTGAAAGAAGAAGAAGACATTGAGGAGCATCTCTTTTTCATTTAGCTGTATCTGGACATCATTTATTAAGCGTCCCACGTGCAAAAGGTTTGCGTGTGTTTTACATATTTGAACAGAAGTGTGTCAGAGGAGGAGTGCGCTCAGTTCCACATTCGTTTAGATGAATGAAGGAAAGGTGAACAGACATGCGTGTGCACAGTTTGGTGAATCTGACATTTCCACGCACTTTCCTCATTTTGTCCATACGCCAACTTTCAGTATGAAAACTGTGTGTGTTGCAGAGCTCCGGCGAGACAACAGTTCTACCCAGTCCAGTTCCAGGTCTCGTATCTCCCTGCTGCTTCAGTCGCCCAGCGCCAGGTTCCTCACCAGTCCAGACTTCTTCACTGTTCTGCACTCCAACCCTGTGAGGACTCGGGTTGATCTCAACCCTTTCCTTTTCCCAAACTCTATGCTTGCTGTCTGAATGCTGCCTCAGTATGTCCATGCAAGAGCTTTAAACCTGTTGGAGAGAACAGCATGTGAGTTTAGACCCCCTAGGAAGCAGCTGGTAGAAAAAGTCCTGCTCTAGGCTTTCATCGTGCGTCATCTTGTAGCTGCAGGGACACAGTTATTACTCAGACATAGAAGAGTAACCTACTTTCCCGTCTATAAGCCGCTACCTTTTCCACAAACTTTCAAATTTAAACGTGTCGTGATGTACCTTTAGCTGTAGCGATCATTTAGCCAATTCTAGTGACTGCTTTGATCGTTTTGTTTTCAGCTGCTTGCTGTTTTTAGCTTGTTGTTTGTCTGTTTGTGTTTTGCTTGTTTCAACGTTACGAGTGAGTGTCAGCTCATTTAGCTCACGTCAGCGTTGGCTGTGGAGTTCGTTCTAGCTGTTCGATGGCTCCTGACTGGCTCTTGTGTCCCCTCCTTGCTGTCAGAGCGCCCATCGTATGTTCACCACCAACACGTGTCTCAAACACATGATCAGTAAGGTCCGTCGAGACACGCACCACTTCGAGCGGTACCAGCACAACCGGGACTTGGTGTCGTTCCTCAACATGCTTGCTAACAAACAGCTGGAGCTGCCTCGAGGCTGGGAGATGAAGCACGACCACGGCGGGAAGGTCTGCGCCGGCGCTCCCACAATAACGCTGGGCGTTCTGCTCTTCCGCCACGCTCACAGTGTTTTCTCCACAGCCTTTCTTCGTGGATCACAACTGCCGAGCCACCACCTTCATCGACCCCCGGCTGCCTCTCCAGAGTTCTCGGCCCCCCAGCCTGTTGGCCCACCACCAACACCTGACCCGCCAGCGCAGCCACAGCGCCGGGGAGGTCAGCCCGCGCCGGGCGGTACGACTCTTTTTCATAGAAACAAAAAGGAACGTGCTTTGTCCTCCCCTCCTAATAATCCCCGTCACCATCCCACCTCTGTAGGCGAGCGAAGACCCTCGTCATCCTGGTCCTCCAGTCCTGCCACGACCTTCCAGCACTTTCACCTCAACCAACCGGGGCCAGTACCAGGAAGTGGTTCCAGTGGGTCAGTATCAGACTCAAGGACACAAAGTTGTGACGTCAGCCTCGTGCGATTAAAGTAGCAAAATGTTTTCTGAAACCTGGACCGAACTTATCAAACTGACCAAATCTTTTCTGTCCCGTCCAGCATACAACGACAAGATCGTGGCTTTTCTGCGACAACCGAACATCTTTGAGATTCTACAGGAGAGACAGTCGGACTTCAGTCGGAACCACGTGCTCAGGTGAACACGTGTCCTGCCCGTCAGTCCAAGTGTCGCCATGGCAACGCTGAGGTTTTACCCAGGCCTGAATATAACCTGATGAGTTCGAGTGATGGAGCGAGAAACAGGAGGTGAAACGTGCAACTGTTGCTCGTCATGGCTGCTGACACGATGCTGTTTCCATGTTCCCAGGGAGAAGGTCCAACTGATCCGGACCGATGGGGTCTCAGGGCTGACCAGGTTGTCGGGAGACGCTGACCTCGTCATACTGCTCAGGTGGGACAGCTCCCCCAGCTTTGATTTGCTGAGTCAGCACTGTTTTCCTGTTTATTGTATATTCTGTACGTTTGCTGCTGTTTTGTTCCACAACTGTGTTTTACCATTTATATATCTAAATTATTATTGCTGTTATTACTTATACATGCTAACTTTAACGTTTACCTACAATTTTAGCTGGTTTCAGATTTTTTTTTTCTGCTGTTTGGCTTGTTTTAGCTTTATGACCATTTACCATTTTTAGCTCTTATCTACTTTTTGATGGTTTTAGCTTTTAACTTGTATTTTGTTCCATTAAGCTACACTTTTACTGGATTCAGTATTTATCTGCATGTCTAGGTTGACTTTTTACAACTGTTTTATTTTTAGGTTTTAACTCATGTTCTTGTTTTAGCTTTTCTCTGTTTCACTCCGATCAATTAGTGTTCTACTTATTTAGCTTTTGTTCTGCTCATCTTCTGCTTGTTTAAGCTTGTGTTCTGCCTATTTTAGCTCA